GGTGGTAAAGCTCTTGAGCAGATACAAACAGCAAGGAACTGTAGCCCAGTTGCCTCAGAGCTGTCCCTTGTTCTGTGCCAGATGTAAAGATAGAGGTCTTAGATTATCAGCTCCAGAAATGCCCTGTTTGGAGGTAAAACAGCTCTTGCTCATCAGAATTTCTCCCCACACACCCAGAATGGTTACTGCTCTGTTTGGGGGACCTATTTGGTTTAATGATGAAGGAATATTTTACATTAACACCTCCTGAACCAGATAAGTGAATTGGGTTTCCAAGTAATCACAGTATCTGTGGGAATGAGTCTATCTACCATCAGATGTCATTTGCTGTCTGTGAAACTTTTATCATAGTATGTCCAATCACAGAAACTAATCAGCAGTATATCTTTGATATCCCAGGTTTCTTCAGATTCTTTGGATTTGGAGGACAGTGCCTGAGCCAGGAGCCCAGGGTACTGTAGGCAGGAATTCTAGTGAGACTGCCCTAGGTTCACTAGAGGTAACTGGAAGTTCTAAGTATTATTTTGGCATAGAAGAAATGCTCTTAATAAAACAATTTGGAATCTGTTTATCTTTAACAAAGTTATTTAGTAGTTTAAAAACTATGTTCTTGTGTTGTTCACCTAATCATTGAACACTGCAGCAAAACTGTTTACAATGATTAAAATTAGTTTTGTGTTTTCTTTTCATATTCAACTTTACAGAAAGAAACTTTCTCTGTATGATGAAGTTGGCTATGAAAGTTTTGATAAATGTTGATTTATGCATTGGACCACAGTCTTATTAAAGAGTTGAGTGTTATGGTTATTTCGTGTTAATGAAATTTGTTGTAAACATCCCTATTTGCATATTTTGATGTCATCTGTGAATGGCAATTGTGAGTTCTATTTGGATAAACTTCATTACATTTAAAGGCTGTGGACTGAAACTGCATTCTTTTTCTTTTTCCATTAAGTTTATTGGTACATTTTAGGTATACAATACAGTTACATTTATCATTGGAACTTGTACCTTTACATGATGTATCTTGGTTCTTATTTTTTCCCTATTCTCCTGCTATCCCTTCACCCCCTGCACCCTTCCCTATTTACAAAGACTTTGTTTCCATTTTTTTCCTTTTCTCACATTTTTTCTTTTCCCTTCTTTCCTTTTCCCACCCCTCTCATTTCCCCTGCTCCTTTAGACCTTTTCTTACTATTTCACAGTATCAGTTATACATTTTGATCCTCATTTACACTTTTAGTTTCTCACACCAGAGAAACCATTTGGTATTTACACATGTGTGTCCTATTTATTTCACTTAAGGGTATGGTCTCAATGTGCATCCACTTAGGTATAAATGTCTCTAGTTTCTAGTTCTTTATGGCCGAGTAGTACTCCATTTTATTAAAAAAACCCACATCTTCTTTATCCAGTCTCTAGTTGATGGGCATTTGGGCTGTTTCCAAGTTTTAGCTATTACAAACTGTGCTGCTATAAACATGCATGAACATATATCCCTGTGGTATGATTCTTTTAATTCTTTTGGGAAGATAGCTGGGTCAAATGAGACTTCTAATCCTGTTTTTTTGAGGTATCTCCATATTGATTTTCACCATATTGATTGCACCAGTCTGCACTCCCACCAGCAATGGAGGCTTCCTTTCTCTCCACACCCTCGCCAGCGTTTGTTATTGGTTGATTTCTTGATACCAACCATTCCTTCTGGGGTGAGGTGGAATCAATGTTGTGAAATTGCATCTGATATTTTGGAATATAGCAAGTTTTTAAAGATAACTTTCATAATATGTAATGTTATTAACTGCAGCATAATTAAAATGATGTCATATTTGTTCATTTTATACCTTTGACGTGTTTATTCTAAAAAAAGTTCTCTGCACCTGTTGGTGGACCCTCAGTACTTTTCCTCTGAGCAAAAGCTCACTCTTCATTGATGGCCCTTAACAAGCATTTCCCCAGTTACTTTCCTGCCTTTAATTTACAGGATTTCCCCTGCATGTGGCTTACAAATGATCCAAAACATACTGCCAACTTCATTAATGTATTGTATACTTGCCCTGCCACATTGTGCTTTACTTTCTTCCTGGAGCACCTACTTTCCTTATCCTATCCATCACTGCCTGCTAATAGCTTTTATGTTCATTGTAAATGGTAGAGTTCCCTTTGGCCCCCACATCTACAACATTTTAATTCCTCTCTATTCTATAATGCTGGGCATGTATGTAGTCCTCCAGGCTTTTTGTAACTCAGATGGGATCTATACTTGTCGATATGTAAATCCTTAAAGAGTAGGCACTCTGTCTGTTTTTCCAGCACTTATTGAAACATCTTGAATGGACATTTACTGAGTCAGTAATTGATAAAGCAAATTAAGAACTTGTTGCTGTAATATTCTGTCCAAACCATTTACGGTGTATCTAATTCTGTGAATGGAGATGAGTGTAACTTTAATGAAATTATAATTTCTATGATCTTTAGATTGTACTGTAGTTATGAAATAACGTGTAGCTGATTAAAATACTAGAACTTAAAATTAGTTAAGAAAAAGTTAATAAAGTGGCCAATAACTTTATTATGTACCAATAATGTCCAGTAGGGTTATGGAGAAGCAATGGTAGTAGAAGCAGTAGCAGTGCTAATAATAAGAACACAATATGCCTAGAAATAAACTGAAAAGAAAGATATGATATATGTGAATAAAACAAATAAATTTTAGTAAGATATATGAAAGTGAGTGATTATAAAAATATTTCTAGATTAAAAATATGAATACTGTGGATATTCCACAGTAAATTTCCTAATTTACTAATTCCAACAGAAAATTTACTAATTTGTTTTGTTTTTGAATGGCTGAATGATCTGTAAAAATAAGTAGTGAGACTGTTTGTGGCATTTTAAGAAGAAGAGTAAAGGAGGGTTATGAAGCGAGTGGGAAACTCCTTCCCAGATAGTAACTGGTAGTCTTTATTACAATGTGAGTTTTAGTACCAGATTTGAAATGTGGATGGTCGATAATAGAGCCCCTCAGAGGCCCTTTATGTACATTCATTTATAATAAATATCACAAGTCAACAGATCTATTTGATTAATACATAATGCTAAGAAAATAGGCTGTTGGGAAAGGAGGAGAATAAGGAAGGCTATATCCTCATTTTCAATCTGCTTAAATTCCAGGAGTAATTGATAAATGTTACAAAAGAAAACAATGAAAAACAGATAAAAACTAGCAGTGGGATCTAAGACTTTCTAAAGCTAATAGCAATGGAAAATCATAGGAAAAATTGATAATATATGATTATATAGACATTTAGAAATCATTACTAGTCAAAACATAAAAAATGAGCCATGTGGGGCTGAGGATTTAGCTCAGTGGTTTCACCGCCTGCTGTGCAACCGCAAGGATCCCCGATACCAAAAAAAAAAAAAAAAAAAAAAATGAGCCATGTGCATGTGTAATCCTAGCAACTGAGAAGAGTGAGACAGGAGGATTACTTGAGCCCAAGAGTTAGAGGCCAGTCTGTGCAACAGTAACAAGACCCTGTCTCAAAAACAGAAACAAAAAATGATAAAGGACACTTTTGGGGAAACATAGGCCACATATGATAGATCATAGGTTATCTTCACTATATACAGAGATCTTATGAATAAGAAAAACACTTAACATTCCAAAAAAGGACAAATATGAACATATAAAGCCATAGATGAAAAATGGAAAGGTATATGTAGGAAATGAATGTTGGAATTAAATACTAAAGATTAAATAATGATGAAACATTTTAGCCATAAAAAACTAAAAATGATTGAAATATAATTAAATTAGTAAGAGTATGATAGACACTCATTTTTTAGTATATGTGCTGCCAAAGTGAGTGCAACACACTCATTTTTGACAAATACATAACTGGTTGTAAACATTTTGGAAGATAGTGTGAGATTTTTACTATTTGAGCCAGTAATTTCACTCTGGGTTATCATAAAATAACTGAAATTGGTGTAATATTTGTCATTTATTGCTGTGTAAGATCATTTCAAAACTTAATAGCTGAAAAAAACAAACATTTATTGTCTCACTGTGTTTGTGGGTCAGGAATCCCTCTACAGTTTAGCAGGGCCTGGGGCTCTGACTTCCTCACAATTCTGCAGTCACTTTAAGGTTTGATTGACAGAGCCCACTTGCAGCTCACTGGTACAGCTGTGGCAGGACTCAGGTCTTAGCTAGCTGTTGGCAGAAGGAATCATTTCCTTTCCATGTGGGCCTCTCTGTGGAGCTACTTGCAGCTGGCCTGCTTGAGGAAGAGATGGAAGTCCTGTTCTTTTTGTAACCAGATCTTGGAAATCACATAGCATCGCTTCTATGCAGTAATCTATTTGCTAAAAAGCAGCAGGTCCAACTCACACACCAGCAGGAATAGGGCATGAATACCAGGAAATTGACTCATTTGGGAGTATTTTAGATGCTGTCTTCTGTGCAGGTTAATATGCAAACGTTTTGCTATAGTTTTGCATGTTTTTTAATAACAACAACAACAAAAAACAACCCATGTAGACACAGAAATAAGCAATGCAGATTTTCTGCCTCTAAGGTGATGGTTACCATGGCTCAAGTTCTCAGCACAGAAGTGCCATTTTGAAATTATCTGGCTTCATAGCCCCGTGACCATACTGCCATTTAAGAGTAATTATAAATATTTAATGACATGAGGAACACAACAAAATTTATACAAAGTAATCTGTATGTGTGTGTTTTATTTATATATAAGAAAAATAGTTGCAAATGTTCCCTTTCAGTGGTAGAATAATAGAATATTAAAATTTTCTTTCAATTTGTATTTTATTCTAAATCTACATTCTGCACATATTTCCTTGTTAATCATTTTAAAAAGTCAGAAAGCTTTTAAGTATTTCAGCCCTCTCCGCTCCTAAGTAAAAGCCTCTAGTAAGACTTATGTACACATTTTTGTTATTTGGTAATGAATCATTCCCTTTAATCTACTTTCTAGATTGCTGACCTCTCATTACCCAACTATCTGATGGCGTCTTCGGTTGGACTGCTTCCTACTCAGCTTCTGAATTCTTACTTGGGTACCACCCTGCGGACAATGGAAGATGTCATTGCAGAACAGAGTATTAGTGGATATTTTGTTTTTTGTTTACAGGTGAGTTTAAGGCCAAGGGTTCACTTTTTCTCCCCCTTTTTCTTTGTGTATTGCCTTGCTATTTAATAACCTCTCAGATTTCATTGAACATGACTTAAGAGAATCTTTTCGTTTTTTATGTCTTTCATTGTTCTTTCAATACTTCATATTTTGACTTTTCTTTAATTGTGTGGATATATGGAAGGTTTTAGAACCGAATTAATACTTATTGAAAATTCTTTTAAGGAAGAAAAAGGAATGATAAAAATAGGATTTTTTTTCAGTGATTAGTTTCAAAGTCAGCACAAAGCAAATATTGTATTTGGCCTTTTGCGAAGGGCTTGCTTTCTGAAAAATTTCATAATTATCTTTGACATTCAAGGAGTCAGTTTTTATTTTCCTTTACTAATTCTTGTTCAGAGATGTATTTTCTTTAGATAACGAGAATCTAAGTATAGTTTTTATTGTATGTGGTTTATTTGTCATAATATAACATATTAATCACAATGTTACTTCTTATATGTTGTATTTACAATATATGTAGTAATTTAATGTTTATGGTACTGTAAGATTTTGACATACATGGCATTCTCAGATTTTTTAATATAAATTTAAGTATATTGTTGTTTTAATTTCCTGAAAATGAATAATCTATTCAAAACATTTTCTTTTGATATTATAGTTGAGTAATTAGAATTCATTAGTAGTTCACAGAGGACTTTCACTGTTGAAATTTCATATTTCTGTGCATCTTAGTAAATTACACGACTGTAATCAGTAGAATTCTTAATGCTTTTTAAACTATAGGATTATCTTTTATGCAGTGATTTCTTCTTTATTTGAGCTGGCAAATTTAACCTTAAAAATCAAAAGAGAAAAGGCACATATTTCTTAACCCAGGCATTTTTGGGGGAGAAATTAAGATTTAATCAACCTCCAGTTTGATTTGTTGATGTTAGTTATGGATTAATTTATTTCAGTAAGAACTTAATGGCAGCTTATAAAATATATACAGAAAAATGGGGGAGTCATCTTGAAGGAGAAAATTAGCAGAGGGGAAGAAAGATGAAGCTTATGTTAAAGTTAGTGAGTGTATCATGAGGTTCTTCCTGTTTGCTAGAAAGAAACCACAAATTTGCCTCTGAGCTGAATAACTATCAACCTAAAGTGAGTCTATAGTGTCAGTAAAATGGAAGGAATTCAAAATAGCTGATCAGAGGAAGCCACAGCTATTCTTGTACCGATGTCCAGCTTAGAGTCCATAGTGTCTCTTTAGTCACTCTTTTTCATGCCCTATATTTTTTTGTTCCCTTCAACCAAAACCCTAATTCTGGATAAATCCAAGTTTAATCTTTGTACCTGTTCTTGTGGGTGCAAAGTTGTACACAATACAGATGGGTAATATTTAATTTGTTAGTTGTGGACCTTCACCTGCTTTCAAACTACCCTACATCCCCACTCTGTCTTCTCACTCAGATATTTCTTTGAAATAGTTAAAACATAGCCTGAAATAGTTTCAAGTTATTTTCACTCTCCTCACAATTTGATTCTTTCTTCTACTTCTTTATTCTTAAGAGATTGCCTTTTTTCTTCTTTAATAGAAAAATCAGAGACTTTCAAAAGGGAAACCCCTCAATTTTCATCTAGAAATCTGTTGTTCCTGCCCATACCCTTGGCCTGCTTTCTTATTGATAGTAGAAGAGATGTCTTTCTTTCTGTAGGAGGCTTCTCCTCCCTGTGTATGGTTCGCTCATTTCATTTTAATAGAGAAACTTAGAAACAAGTCATCTAACAGATCTAAGATATGACCTATTCCTTAGGTCATCATTAACGTTTTCTAATTCAGATGCACTTTCCACTTCTCATCCAGCTTGACCTGTTAGCAGCCCCAGATTCTGTTGACCATGCTTTCATCCTTAAAACTGTCTTCCCTTTGTTTCTTTGATATCACTATTTTGTATTTTTCCCCACGTGCCTGGTTTATGTTTGTCTTCTTTGTTTTCATCTCCTACGTATGTGTTTCTGAAGAGTCTAGTCTACATTTTCTTGTCTAATGTAAAAAACATGTTTCCTTGGCAAATCGATTAATCTGGTGAATGCTAATGTTTGTGTCCTCAAGCCTCCAATGCATGTCGTTAGCTCAAGATTTCTTTCCATTGCTTCAGACCCATTCATTGAACTTTTCTGGATGTCTGGCAGGCGCCTTAAATTCAGCATGCCTAAATTCAATTTAGGGTTTCATTCACATATCCCCCTAATTAATTCTCTGAACATTTTTTCCATCTCTTTACATAGTGTTACATCCACTGATAAGTATCACAAGAGTTTTCAGTAAGTGTATCTTGTTTCTTTTAGAATTGACTTTACAGAGCAATTAGTGGATTTAAAAACCCACCTGTATAATACTACCTCAGTTAATGTTTAGCCAGCTGTTAGATAGTTATTTTTGTTCCTGGGAGGAAGTTTTTTCATTACAAAAAGAAAAGTTTGACTTGTACAAAGCAAACACAATTCGTATGGATTAAAGGGATGTATATTTGCTGTGCATTTACCTGATACTGTATAATGTTTACAGACTTTGGCTCTGCACTCCTGGGAGAAGCAACACAAGACAGAATAAATGATAATTGTGTATAAACTTTTTAAAATATAACCTTTTACCTGTCATATTTAAGAAGCATCCTGTGTGAAGTACTTCTAAGCTAAATATTTATCAATTTGTTTATTTTTCTGCATATAATATTGATAACTAATATTTTATTTTTATTCACAGATTATTATAAGCATAGGCCTCATGTTTTACGTAGTACATCGAGCCCAAGTGGAGTTGAATGCAGCTATTGTAGCTTGCGAAATGGAACTGAAAACCTCACTGGTTAAAGGCAATCAACCAAATACCAGCGGCTCATCATTCTACAACAAGAGGACCCTAGCATTTTCTGGAGGTGGAATCAATATTGTATGATTCTAGAGAAATGTGTGATTGTACTAGTGTGCTGTCCAAGGTCTAGAAGTCACTTTGTTAGTGGCAGAGACAATTTCTATTTGTATTACGGCACAAACAAAACTGACTAGTTTTTAAATTGCACAATTTTTTTAAAGCAAGAATCACTTTCTGGATATGTAAAATGTAAATGTAGATGCAATTTTGGCTGTACCTCTTTATCATGCCTGTAATGGCCTATAGGTCTGCACTTTAGTGTTTTTTAATACTTTTATTTCTGGGTACTTATGAACAGAGAGATAACCCAAACATTTTTCTCTGCTAAGTGTCTTTATTTATAAAATTCATAAATAGTTGTATGCATCTTACCTATAAAGATGAGTAAAAGTATGCAGTTTTAAATGTATGTTATTGGATGTTCTTTGCTTAGGTAGTCTTTCCAGAAGGAATAAACAGTGTTGTTTTGTTTTGTTTTGTTTTATTGTTTCAAATGGGACCACTTTGCTTCCCTTTTCCTTATTTGTTAGGAAATGGACATTAACTTTCAGTTGAATGTATCTTTGCAAGCATCACATTAATGCAGGGCCATTTACATCTTTTCACACAAGCTTAAATCCTACGTTGTGGGACTGAAGTGCTCTTAAGATAAATATCTTTTTATTTTCACTGTGTAATATGCAAAGCAAAAGGGAAATTATTTAGTGGGTAGTGGCTCAAAATTAGAACTTGTGTTCTAATTTGGTTATATTGGCTTTACCCTCCTTTTATCTTTCATCAAAGGGCTGTCCCATTACAATCTTACTAAAACATTTTATTAAAATAAACTTTTTTCCTTTTTGTATTAATAATTAGGCTTTGAAATAAAGATATTATTCCTTTAAAATGGTGGGCCTGCCATCATTGAAGGTGTCACTCGGGTGGCCTTGTTTAATCAAAACGCCTTTTGAAAAAACAAAGCTTTAAAATCATGTTTATAGTTCCATTGAAATATTTATATATTTGTTTCTATAGTCTTCAGCTTTAAAACTATAAATAAAATTAACTTAATGCCCAGATTTGTATTGTATGCCCAACTATAGGTAAATTTATTTTGTTTTGTTTTTTGGTACTTATTTTTCTCTGATAAGACTCAGGAATTCTGAAATGTGAAATTAAGTGTCTGATTCTTTCTCTAGTAGCATGAAATCAAGTGTATTAATAGCACTTATGACTGTAGAATATAATAATTTGGCATATAATTCATATGACAATGCGATATTCATTAATCGCCTTCATTTTTAAAAGAGTGTAAGTGTGCAATTAATGATTAGTCTTTACCAATGAGAAAATAGTTATTGTGGAGATTTTCTGTTATGCATCTCCTTTTTGTACATGAGTATTCCAACTTATCAGAGACCTCTTATTTGCCCTTTCATTAAAGGGTAAAACTTTTACCCTGACTTACTCAACTACAAAGGAATTCTTTGGAAGCTGATTATTCTAGTCTTGTGCTAGAGATTAATTTTGCCCTCTGCAGATGTAATTGTTTTCCTTTTCTTTACAGTGCATATATTCTCTTACCTTGGAGTAACAGTAGAAAACTTCAGTGCAGATATTCTGAGAGGCACCTGAGTACTGCACATAGTTGGCCTCCAAATCCTCCCTTCTGTTATTGGTAGGGGAATAATTATATATAGTGTTAGAATATTTGTATTCTTTTTTTTGGAGTCCTAATTATTCAGTTTTTAAAATTAGTTTAATGATCCTATTGAACAATACATTTTATTTGTTTTTCTCTAACTTCTCAACATGTTTCTTTTGCTTCTTGTTTGTCAATTAGTTTTTGTTAAAGGACTCATTATTTAAGATCACTGTTTTTATACTTGTTCTATACTTCACATATTTTGAAGTGCATTTATTTACTCAGCATTTGTGACTTGAATAACCTCACCAAATGAATACCTTTTGGTAGTTTGTAATACGTTCTTCCAAATGTTACACTTTGCGTGGTACTTATACTAAATATGAAAAGGTAAAAGAGAAATAATTTTTCTGTATTCTGCCAATCATAATTTTATATAATAAATCATCCATTTTTTTCCTTAAAATAGTATGGATTGACTATTTCTGAAACACTAATCTGTAACTGCAGTTTTCTTTTTTGTCAGCATTACCAGACTCCAAATAAACAGCAGTCCATTATAACATCATGCTGTTAGGAGAATTTGGTTGTTGGCTGTTGTATTCACTGTAAATTATGGACCGCATTACTATGGCTATGTGCTCAGTCTTTAACCCTGCATCCCACTCATGACAGCAACACATTTCTATGGGATTTTTTTAATGTTGTCCAAATTTTGCCTCTAATCATATATATTTTTAAATGCCTCCATTTTTGAATATTTGTAGAAATGAAATGGTTTTGATTTCTTAAGCTGCTTAAGTGCAGAATAAAGTTGCTTTATTTTCATTTAAAGAAGCATAAAGTCCACTTATTTTCCAAATGAGATAAAAGATATATTCTATTTTGAGTTTCCAGGGCCTTTCCCTAAGTTTTCCATATTTTTATGATATATTGTTTACTGTTTGCCAAATCTTGCTGTATAAATTACAAGTACTTTCTTGTCCATTTTTATTTAATCATCTGATTTGTTAAATAACTTGAAATTTATACTCTTTGTTTTGTGAAAATAAGATAACCAAATCTCTGTCATTAGAGTGTACATTTTGAATTTATGTTCATAAGTCATTGAATTTATTCAAAACCAGCCATATTCTCTTGGATGCCCTCTGTAACAACTGCAGACCTTTCTAAGCGAGCTTCCATTGAGAAAGTCAGGACATTTTCTTCCTTGCAAAGCTGTTAAATTCAGTAGTTATTCTTATCTGTCCTTACTGTAACTGATGTAAATGGCGAGGTGCATACACACATCCAGCATTACTATTCGGTAATGCACAGTACTGACAAGGGTGCTTCTTAGGGAGCGTGTTGTGCTGGGACTTAACATTCATTAGTATTTGTTAGTTGTAGGGCTTTCTTAGAAAGCTTGAGAAAATGCTTAGGTATATGTCAGTTCAGTGCAAGTAAATCCTTACATATGTGGTAAATCCATGCCATTCACAGCCGAGCAACATCTGCAGAAAAAAAAGAGGTTTTTTTGCAGACTTAAGGAACATTTCTGAGTTGAATTGATGGACTTGGTGGGGGAATTTTGTTTCAGTCAGAAGCTACTCATTGTTTCAAAATGATTGTTAGTATTACACTGTCAGGTGTTTAGATTGGATATTGCTGATTTCTGTTGTAATATAGCATTTAGGATATAATTTTTTGAAGGGTCACTGCATAAAGCTGAGAAGTCATTTTTAAAAGGTCGGGTATGGTGGCACATGCCTGTGATCCCAGCACTTGGGAGACTGAGGCAGGAGGATAACTGGGTTCAAGGCCAGCTTAGGCTACAGAGTGAGTTCAAGGCCAACCTGGACTACATGGCAAGACCCTATCTCAACAAAAACAGATGAAAGGGGAGAGGAATTCCTATTCCACAGGCTATTTAAGACTCAGAAGTTTAAATGAACTGATGTACTGAACATAAACTGTTAACTTATTCCACAACTCAATTATAATCACTGCTTCTGAACTGTAAAGAGATTGCTGCAAACTATTTTCAAGGTGGCTAAAGATTTAAACTAAATAATTTTAAAGGTGAATCAGTAAAATGTCTTGGTAACTAGTATCCCAAATCACTTGTGTGCCTGAGAAAATAAAACGTAACATTTTATTTTCTCTCTCTTTTCTCTTTCTTTTTCATGAATGTAGAGACATGTCCCATGGGAGCGAGCAGTTCAGGGGAAAGAGAGGATGTGCATTTAAAAATGAAAATGCTTACAGTCAACCCACGTGCTATGATCATAGCAGAGGCCCTGTGGAGAAATAGTTCTGATGTCTTACGTTGACACTTACTCTTCAGTGTTTTCTAAAGCTGTACCACTAAGTCAAAAAATATCACCTGCCAGCCAAACAATTGTTAACCCTTTGTCCAGAGCTGTGATAATGTTTATGATGCTTTTCATGAAGTCAGAGAACTTTCAGCAATCTAATTTTCTGCTTTCCATGAATTTCCTTAAGGGCACATTGCTGCTGCCATAAAACTTTCATCTTAGCACTCACCACTATTGCATATGTTTTGCTAACCCTTTAGGGTCAGAAGTGCCCAGGGGCACATGGGGTAACCACTGCTTTCAGCCAGGGGCTGCAGTGGTGCCCTCCTTAGATCAGTGTGTTGGCATTGTAATGTGCTCATCACTCAGGGCAGAGCTGTGGTCTCTATGGTTGACACTAGAGTTCATATCAGCACTCTTGAGCGTGGGAGAATGTACATATTATGAGTTAAATATTGAGCATTGTATACCTGATAGTGTTAAATTCTTTGTATAGAGTAAATTCATAGTTAATCATTTTCCCAGGTTTCAAAAAGTTGATTATCCAAATTGTGTAATTACTGATACCACTATCTTAAAGGTGGCTCAGTATTTTGTAAAGTATTGTGCTAGGTGAGAAAGTTGAAAAATCACAAAATATATACTGAAATTGAATAGAAAAGAGTGGACAGGATATTTACTGAAGCAAAAGAGAATAATTGAAAATTATAAAATTCTCACAATAGGTGTATAATTAGAGTGGAATGTTTTAATGTAAATATATTCATCCTAAGACCCATGACTAACAAAAAGTAGTAGAAGCCAGTAGGGAAGTAGTCCTTGATTCTTTGTTAGTTATAAGGCCATTTTTCATATAAATATTTGCATGGTCTGTTCAATACTCTTTATCTCTTAAGGTCTTGCCTTAAGTTCACCTTGGCAGGGAGAGGAAGGGAACTGAGTAGTTTTCCACCCCATTTTTTTCAGTTAATTACTCTCGTTTTAACTTTATTAACTGGCTTTGTGTCATCACAATTCTACTCTAAATTTTCAATAGAATATCTTTGCTTGGAATCCATGTATTATATAGGTGTCGTAGCAATGCATTAAATTATTAGATGGACTTGGAATAGATTCTGGCAACACTGAACCTGAGAACATCTTTCCTCCCCTTCACTTGGCTGCTGGGTGCAGATGAGGCCTCTGATGGGGATCTTGGCAGGAAAACTAAGGCAGGATTTGGCCTGCATGGGCCTGCTAGTGTCAGTAGTGGGAAAGACAGATGAGCCACACATCCCAAAGACTTTGTCTTTGGGCTTTTGAAAGGCAGTTTGATACTGGGAATCACCAAAGTATATCACACTCTCTGATGACCTCTGACCAAGGGAGAGCTGAATGGGCTAAGTGTCTCCTACTGACTGGGAAGGAGAAGATTCAGGAATACCAGATGCATAGCAGCTTCCTCCTTAAAACTTAAAGCCTGCCTGCTTCCCGATCCTCCAGCCTTGCTGATGTTTTGTGTTAATGCAGCATTGTTACTAGTGTCAAGCAACTGGAAACAAACAGAACACAGTTCATGGGGGAGTGGTTGATAAAGTATGACACGTGCATGGCCTGGAAGAGTAAACAGCCATTAGGATGGATGAACTAGATGTACAGTCATGAGTTAGGGGGATTTCCATAGAATATTGTTTGTGAAAGAAACAAGATACAGAAAACTAAAAATGCAGTTTTAAGAAAAAAGTCCAATCTCCTGTGTGTATCCATGTGTGCATACAAACATCTGCATCTCCTCCTGTAGGAGTATATGAGTAGAGATAGGAATATGGAAGGAAACCTACTGGTGTCCTTTCTTCCAGCCCTTGTTTCTTGGATAGGTGATATGAGAAATTAAGTTACTTTCTCTATGCTTCAGTTTCCTCACCTGTGTGTTAACTACCTACTTCATAGGGTAATTGTGAGAATTAAAGAGGTTTAGTGTAGAGTTCTACTTGGTAGGTACTAAGCACACAATAAATGTTAGCTGTTACTACCTGAACCCAAGTCATTCTTAGGTGAGAAGCAGTTTAGTGTTTCAGTGTGTATTTGGCAGACTGAGATGAGAACGGCAGGAAAAAATAATAAAATGCTTACCTGGTTCATGTCTTTACAAAGCACACAGAGAAGGTACAGAGACAACATATAAGCAAAATAACAAGCAGACAGTACTTCCAGGACAAAAAAAGTCAATATAAAATTCAGCTAGCAGAAACTGAATAATGAAAGAAATGCTTAGAGAAATCATTGAATTAGGGAAAGGACTGGAGATATTTCTTAAAGAAGACATAATTATTATCTTGTTTTTGCATTCTACAGGTAGGGACTGTAAAGAACAGGGTTCTTAAAAAGCTCTCTGACCAAAAATGATTAAGAAACATTGAAGTGAAAGGTGAAAGTTGTGCAAACAGGCAAAATCTTTTTTTAGTGAATTTCATTTCAAGTCAATACTAAATCCCCCTCCCCAGTGACTACCTGTACCACCACCTTTTTTAGATTCTGAAGCTAACATTTAACTTAGACTGATTTGAATGTTTTACACAAGCTCTTTTCTTCATTTAGTTGATTCTAAATTCATTACATTCTTATTTGTAATGGCAGTTTTCCTTTTGTCAGTACAGTTCTTTACATTAGTGAGAAAAAAGATTTTAATTTTCTGAATTTCCATCAAATCAGTCTTTTTTTCAGAAAATACAGAAAGTCAGCTATGTATCAGGCACTTGCTGAACTTTGGGATTACAGAGTCAGAACTATCAGAGGAACTCCCTCTTAGTGGGAAAGGTGGAAAAGTGACAACATGATAGCAGTGCAGTGCGAGTGGGTCCATAGTAAAGGTCTATGCCACAGAAGCTAAAGGAATGATAAAGTAAAACCAGGAGTGGTGGCAGGGACACGGGTCACCAGAGTTGGAGGGAGAGGCAGGGGTCAGAAAGTATGCTGTGTTAGTGATTGCTGAATTGACCTTGAATAGATTGATGCAAATTGTCCAAGGGAAGAGGAAGAGAACTAACATTCAGACAAAGACCTAAGAAAGGAATGCCAAATAGTTGAATACAAGTAGAATATCAGGGCAAGAGGGAGAATAGTGAACCAAGGCTTGAGAAATGCAACATATGTTTATGTACTATAAATATCATGTGAATGGATTCATATACAATATCAAGTGTGGGTTTTATATTTATGTATAAGAATGTACTGAAGTGCCAATAGTGTCTGTATTTTAAATCATACTTGGCAGTTTGAAGGAATTGAAGATTCCAAGTCAAGATTACCAGTCTGAAAGTTTATCAGGGGAGAATGAAGAAGGCTAGAAATAATATATAACAATAAATACAGAAAAGGTTATATTTGAGAGGTGTAGAAAAGAAATATGGCCAGTGTAGAAGGTAGGATGGCAAATGGGGGAAGAAACTGTGACAGCTCCTCAGTTACTAGTATGGATGGTGGCTTAAGTATGAACAGTTTGGAGATGGACGAGGAGATCGAAACACCTCTGTGCATGAAGATGCATAGTGTGAAAATCAAGTACTGCAGAGATAGAACTTAGAGACAGAGGTTTGGAAGCCATCAACATACATAGGTGGTATGTGAAGTTTTTGGTTTGTATTTGGTCCCAAGGGAGAATAATGGTAATAATCACAGGACCACGCAGGAGAATAGTGTCCTCGGGAGGGGACTGACAGACCAGCCTGAGAGGGCTTCCAAGAGGAACTTGCTAGAAATACAATACTGTTGAATACTGGGGAAACACATTAAGGATGAAAACATGTTAAACTTAGCACTTTAGGCAGACATTGATAGCTTGATGACAGTAATTACACAGAAGCCCTGCTAGACTGTGCTCAGGTGTAATTGTTGAGGAAGTAGAAACTGCAAATGTAGACCATTCTGAATAATTTTGGCAGCAGAAGCAGGAAGAATATAGAAATCCTTGAATTTAATTGAGAGAGACCAGCTTTGCTAAGGGATTTGCATCATATTCATACCTCTAAGTTTTACATGTCTCTTCAAGCTTTGATACATGTATTGTGTAATTTTAAATTTTAAAAAGATACTGAATTAAAGAGAAACAAGCTGTAATAGGGGAGAGATGAAAAGATAAAAGAGGTAGGTCAATAGTTCTCTCACATTTAAGTTACCCATAGAACTTTGAAAAAATGACCATCCATGCCTGGCCATTATCACCTATTCATCACAGTGGTAGATAGGACCTGTTCATAGATACTTTTTTCAAAAGCTCCAGCTAATTCTGATCTCAAGTGAGGGTTAAGAACCACTGAGGAAAGACTCCTTCTGTTAAGATGTAATGACTGAAGCATGTTTACATTCTGTAATTTATGTTACTGTTTTAACTCATTGATTTGAGATGCCCTCAGTTTATATCACATTCGATACTACAGAAGTAAATAGAGCACTGTCCTGGAAGTTGTGACATGATGCAGGTTATGGTGATGATTATCAATTAGCTGCATAATTGTGTGCTGGTCAAAACATTTCCATATGTAGACAAGCATTGAGGTTATGATCCTTAAGTTCTGTTCTATTCTAAACGAAATGCATTGTTCTTGGGTACAAAATGATGCTGGGATCATCTGCAGTAAGTGGCTGGAAATGCTTAGGAATTTTTTTAAAGTAAGAAAGAAGGTCTTAAAATTCTTTTGTTGGGCACAATCATGGCTCTCTAGAGTAAGTAACCAATTTGTATCTGTCGCTGGAGATAATTTCAACTCTAATCAGTTTTAGGATGGTTCACAGGATGAGCCCAATCCTAGACCATCCTTAGAGAACTGCAAGACTCAGACAAAACTCTTGTGTTTTCGTCTACCCTTAATATGGTAAAAAGCCCAATGGGTCTTACTATTTTAAGTGAAATAAACCAGACACAGACAGATACCACATGTTCCTACTCATTTGTGGAAACTCAAAAGTTGGTCCCATTGAAGAACTGAGTGCAATAGTGGTTGCTAGAAATTGAGAGGGTAAGAAGTTAGAAAAGGGCACCAAAACAGAGTTAGGAAGAATTAGTTCTGACTTTATGTAACAGGAAACAGTCTGTTGTTTGGCTACAGTAGCAGGGTTTGGCTGCAACAATCTATGATATACTTCAGAATAATCAGAAGAGTATGAAATTTCCAACACATAATAATGACTATTTGACAAAATAGAAGTGCTCATTACCCTGACTTGATTATTACACATTTATATAGCTATCAAATTATCATAATGTGTCCCATAAGGAAGCACAAGCACTGTCTAAAAAATTAATTTTGAAAAAGTGAAATGTATTTGAAATTCAGTTTGTTGCATTTTATAAAAAGATGGTTTAAAGCCCAAAAGGATAAAGACCATCGAGCTTGGATTTCCTCTGTTGAAAGAGGAGGACATTTCATTAGGATCAGAGAAAGTGGCAGAGCATCTTCTTGCCCCTTTTCAGTACTGTCTGCACCATGGCAGAAGGCAGGCCAGTGACAGGGCATCCCACTTGAGTTGCCTTGGTGATGCAAGAAGCTCCAGAGCACACCTTCAGGGACTATCATGTTACTCTGACTTACTGAATATTTATGGGCACTTAAATTTGATATAATTTGATAAATATCAAATGCTATAAAACTGAATATTTAATGATATAACAAATAGTTTTAGACATGTGTGTGTTTGTATTCCAATCATTTTGTTTCAACTATTTGCTATTGAGATAAGGAAAAATGATTTTTTAGGGCACTCAGTTAAGATTGTGACACTCCGAAGAAAAGAAATGTAATCATTCCAACTAAATATGATTTTTCACCTCAATAAAAGAAGAAAAATCTTTGGAAATACAGAGACATTTACAAGAAATAGTTGAAAGGAGAGGAAAATTATTCTTAAGTAGCAGTTGCAAGCATTTTCTTATCTCCTGGCTTTGTAAGTAGGGCATAAGGTCAGATAGAAGATAATTTCTGCTCCCGCCTTAGGGTCAAGCTTAAGATATGGAAGTGAAAGTTCTTCATATGGTCATAAGACACTTTCAGGGATAAAAACATGCCATAAACACTCAGGAGCAGATGAGTTACCACTGAATGTTCATTTAGCTTGTGAAGCTTTTATACTGACTGATTAGGTAGGCAAAATCAGAACTAAAATAGAAGTTTTACAGCTTAAGAGGATCTATTTTACAGTTATATTTTATGTGCAGTTCTATAGAAAAATTGCAATGTTTACAGAAACTATTTTCACAAATCTTTTAAAGTTCTGAATGACAGTATTAAGTTAACTCTGAATGTGGGCAACTAATACTTAGTGTGGTTTCTGATTCAATTTTTGTGCTTCATTCCTCACCAAAAAGTTATTAAATGATGACAGTGTATCCAAAGCACGTCTTAAAAATGTGAGTGCCTTTCCTTATTGCACCCTTTTAGTGACAGAGGTAATTACTGTTTTTGCAAGGGGCATAGAATCGGGGAGCCAGTGGCAAAAGACAGGCCTATTTTCACTTGAATGGTAGAGACCAAATAATTTAAAATCATGTCTCTGTTGGGTGTAGGGGCTACTCCTGACTTATAAGTAAGAATTAGTCTATTCAGGTGCAACTGTTGCCAGTTAGTATCACTTGTGTACCTTGATACCTGTGTAGCTTGATACTTGTGACAAATGAGCTGTAAACTTGATTTAACTTGAAGTCAAAATTTAACCTCAGGATTGATGAGGCATTTTAGAATTTTGTTATCAAGTTAGAGTTACCTTTATCATCATGTCTTCTTTTAGATTACTCCTCAGAATGAGGAAAAAAAAAAGAAAAAATATGCTCCACTGTTTTTCTTAGAGGGGCTGTTATGTATGTAAATCCCAGTTCTAACTTTTAGCTGGAAATGCATGAACCTGACTGTGCCCTTATTGTTAGGTGAGAGAGGCCAGTCAGTAGCCATGGTCAAATCACATGTTGACTTCTTTCTAATTAGCTCATTAGTTTGGTCTCCTTACAATAAAATTCCAAAGCATTGTCCTTGTTTTTTAATTTAATAAAATGATGTGCAAAGTTCATATGCAATAATTAATTGAAGATTCCAGGAAAGTTTTGAGAAAAAAAAAGTAATAAAGAGGAATTCCTTTACCAAAATTTCATATGGAAAGTCATTGAAATCTGAAGAGATGATTATATTAGCAGAACAAAAAACAAAGTCTAGAATCAGATCCATATATAAGTGAGGCCATATTGCATTATAAAGATAATTAATATCAATAAATTACATTTAGAAGACAACTAGTTTTTGGAAAAATTAAAGGTGAACTAAAGATTTAAAATAGAAAAAACATAAATATAAGGTGCTATTGCCAGGAAGAAAGAGCATGGATAAATTTGAAATTTGAAATTTTTGACTTGAAAATCTAAGTCTTAATTCCATTTTGTTAAAATATTTAATTTTCTTCTCTATTATCCTGTATATATTGTGTGATTCAGAAATATGTATTTATGTATATTTTATATTCCATTTTACTAATATTGCATCATTGTTATTATTTTCAATTATTTTCATGGTTATTTTAACAGCTTATCTTTTTTGCTGATAATTCACTGTTAACAGTTTAGTATAAAAAGCCTTTTTTCTCTTTCTATGCAAGTATACAAAATACATTTATATGCATTTGCCTGACAATCATATATTATATATATATATTATATATATATAAACTATGTCCCTTTTCTCTGCACATTGTGAAAAAAAGATGACCTTTAAAAATCCCATCTTTTCATCTTTTCATTGTCATGTTGAAAAGGTCTCCTATGATATTTGGAAATCAAATTATAAAATGTCATTGTGCTTCTACATTAATTTCTAGGCTGTATTTAAAACCTTTTTTTTGTTATCTATTTTTAAGACATCATTGCACATTTTTATTTTCATCTGAGATTTAATTATTTTTATTGATTTATACTGTTTACATATACTCTCATTTTATAACTAATTATATTTACTTCTTTTCTAATTCTAATTCTAATTAATTAATTTCTTTTCTTTTTTCATTATGGTTTTACTTGTATTATGTGCATTTTGTTTACATTAATAAGTACAATTTATTTAATAAAATTTTGAGGTAAATATCCTATTTTTAACATTTTTAAATGAGTTACAGTAATTGCCAAGAATTCATGATATTGCAATTATTAATTTATAACTAAGTACACTATTTTTTGTTTCCTTTTAAGGAGAAAAAAGCTAATGCTCAGTGGTAATATTTAGTTCTGTCCTCATCATTAATTAAATGCAAAAGTATTTTTTTGTCATTGTTGACTTGTTTTATTCTATGGGGAACAGGGAAGGGGATGTTGTCAGAACCCCTGCAATGGGTCCTGGTCTCCTGTGAGCCACTACAGCACAGGCAAATTAAAGAATAAAGATAGGAAACTAGACTCAGAGTGAAGAAGCTGGGTCTTGGGACCTGATCAGTCTCCCAAGTGCATCCAGTATTTATTGAATATAATCATGGGAAGGAATAGGGAGCTGGGTATGTTTTGAAGGTATCTAGTGAAATACTGCCGAACACCTGGCATGATGGTGCTAGGCAGGGCTGTTAGGGAGGAAGCACTGCTTATCTTGCTTAGATAGAACAAACCAGTACTGGGACCAGGTGCAGTTAGCAAGCAAGCCATCGGGTCCATGAGAAGCCATAATTCAGGGGAAAGGGTTTTAATTGGAGTCATGCTGACCTCAGCTGCACATAACTCAGCAAAGCCCTGCCACTTCACAGACCAGGACCTAGGTTTCCATGGCAGCCATTGGGGGAGGGGCTGTACTCGCCCAGTACACCATCTGACATGCCCATCTGAGTCACACAGAGCTTCAGGCTGACTCCTGATATAAAACAGTATATCCAAATTATGGAAAGCAAGAAGCAGGTGCCAGTCATAGCCCACTAACCCACATAGCCACTGGGCAGGGATGTCTGCTACATTATTCCAGTGACTCAGCATTCTCAATAATTAGCAACATTTCTTGTATTTCTAGACTATTCAAAATAACTATTGTTCTATCATTAATAATATCAGTTTCTGTTGTTTCTTTTTTGTGTGTGGTACCGGGGATCGAACTCAGGTCCTTGTGCTTGCGCAGCAGGTGGCGAAACCACTGAGCTAAATCCCCAGCCCAATAATATCAGTTTCTAATTGTCATAGATTTTATGCACCACTCAGTTTCACAGTGCTCACCATAAATACTTAGCTGCCCCTAATTGGAAGCTTTTAATCCCCATTCCTGGAGTTCTCTTGCATTTTCAGGAGATATTTACAGGAAGCATATGCTTAGGTACTAAATATTGCTTATCTAAAAATGTTTTTCTGTACTTTTACATACATATGACAGCTAAATTAAATAGATTAATCTTGGCCTACATACTTTTTAATTTTTAATGCAATTTTTAAATACATAATAACTAAATTATTGGAAACAGCCTAGATACCCATCAACAAATGAAGGATAAGAAAAATGGGTCATATATACATAAAAAGAATACATATGAGTCATTTGTAGGAAAATGGATGAATCTTGAGACTATAATATTAAGTAAAATAAATCAGACAGAAGGTTAAATATCATGGGATTTTTTTTAATGTGAAAAACTCAAAACACAAATGATTTAAAGAGCAAATAAAAAGAAAGATGGCAGGAAATAGGGAGGTAGACCTTTTTTAGAGATGGGTGAGGGAATTTTGGAAAGGGGATGGAAGTTGTGGAAAGGGATCAACAATGATCAATATTATATATAGACAGACTGTCTATAATATATATACCCATATCCATACATATATGTATGGATATAAAATAAAATTATTATGTACAAATATATACTAAAAGAAAAGATCATTGTAAATTTACATGCAGTTATAAAATATATCACAGAGAAATCCCATATATGCTTTATTAGTTTCCCCAACATAGCATCTTAGAGCCCTGAAGTGCAATATCACAATCAGGATGTAGATGTAGATACAGTGGAGATATAAAATATTTTCATTGCCATAGGAAGGATCCCTTATTATAACCACTTCCGTGTCCCTCCAGCTTCCAAACCCTGCTGTATCCCTGGCAACTGTGAATCTGATTTTCATCTCTACAATTTTGTCATTTCAAGAATGTTATATAAATGAAATCATACAGTATGTAATCTTTTCAGGTTAGCTTTTTTCACTCAGCATAATTCCCTGGATATTCATTGGGATATTATTTATATCAATAATTTCTGAATTTTTTCCACCTAAATAAGCTTTAGAATTTTAGTTGAGTCTGTGATCCCCATCCTTGACATTTAATAGTTTCCCAATGTTTTGATTTGGTTTCTGCTTATTTTCTTTTCTAATTTTTCTCTGACAAGGTTAATTCTTATTCCAATCTTAGTTTTTACTATGTTGAAAGACATCTTTAGCTATAGCCTCATTAGTGATTCTGACTTTATGAATTCTTTATTTAGCACTTGGATTATTCTCAGGTTTGTGACTATTATCTGCTCTTTATTGCCTCATATACTGTTTCTAAGTAGGATATGGATTATAGTATTATAAGAATTATGGAGCACATAGAAGTTGCTATGTAATTGTTCACTAAATGATTAAATCAATGAATAACTTTCATGTCTCTGAGGTTATCTGGTATTTTTCTTTAATAATATTTCCCCTTTGTTTTGCTTTTCTTCCTTAGGTTTATATGCTGTTTTACTAAATTCAATTTTGGTGGTATTGGTTGGACTGTTTGTTCCAGTGATAGTATGAGTTGTTTCAAAACTGGTATTTTTAAAGCATTTTGAGATGGAATGCAGCGGTGTCCCAGGGGAAGGTCAGGAGCTGCTCAAGAAAGGACCACAATGTGGGACCTAATGAGGTCATAAGATTGGTTTTATATATGATGAGCAAGAATTACACTGAGTGAAACAGAAAGCATATTTCTTACCGTGAGATAAAGGAGTTACAAATGAGGAAAGCAGGAAATTGAGAAGAAAACTTTTGGTGTTGGATTGGAATTTTAATTTCAGGAGTTAGAGACTTTTGTTTTGTTTTGCTTTGCATTCTTTTAGCTTTGTTCGCTGAGGGGATGAGGGACCAACGATACTCCAGTAACTGAGACTGTCTAGTACCCAAATATGGTTTCCAAGCACCATTGTCTACTACAGGGAACCAGCACTCTTTGAAGCAATGGCTGATCCTAGGGCTGGGGCCCAGGAAAGCACAGATGGAGTCTGGAGCTATTTTTCTGTGCTGAAAGTAAGGAAGTACTTGACAAATGATAGGACAACTCTTGAACAGACTCCTGATGGCCAAATCTGGGACAACTTGAGCACCAAAATAACTGAGGATAATAACTCACTATTCAGCAGCTACCATGCCTGTGGTGAAGAAACCTAGCTTGGTGCCACCTCCATCAAGTAAACATCACCAGAAATTGATCAGCAGAATTGGGTGACTCTGTGTGGTGGCCATGGCAGTGCCTTCTGAGACCTCCTTCAAGAGAACATGCTGTGGAGACATGGATATCTTAGGCTTTCAGCCTGTCCCTGTGACCACTGAGGTCCTGTTTTGCCTAGGATGCTCCCAGCCAGTAACAGCATTCTGAGGGTGCCCTGCCACCCATTCCTGCCTAGAAGAAACAGGAAACTTAGGGTTTGGGGATGCCCCATCCATTGCGTTGCTTGAGTAGTCTCACTCTAGACTGCATTCTGAGATTCTTTTAACTGCATTCTGAATGCTTTAAATTCTGGTAAGTAGTCCCTTGGTCTACTTACTGTCTTTCCTTGCCTCCTCCTGCTT